GTCGTTATTTGGCAGATTTCTGACAAATCGGCCTAAAATTTTCTAGTAGTTACTGTTTTTTCTAATTAGTATTTTTTGTTCAAAACGCACATAATAATTCGTTTTTGTGTATTTGTTTGTCGATTTGGTTGGTTGATGAGAAACCTGCTGAAGGAAAATGTACGATTTCTATGTTTGGATTTTCGCGAATGATAACTGTTATTAGAATTTGTTATAGCCTTGTAGGTTTATCACAGATTTTACAACCAATCAGGCTAAATTTCTCTATAATATACATAATCTTAGGGTTTTGTGTTTGTTAAATCACACACAGTCAAGCGCAACAATTCAGTTTTGTTTATTTACCGTTGACTAAATCTCATTATAATTTGTTTTTGGGCAGAAGGTGCAATTCAGCCCTTCTACGTCCATTGTTGTGGCGGCCCTTCTACGTCCATTGTTGTGGCGCATCAGCCCCTCTACCCAAAAGTAGAGCAAATCAGCCCCTCCACTTGACAAAACCCGCAAATCAGCCCTTCTGCTGACGATTACCTCATCAAATGTCATCTTTCCGTCCACATCCTTGTTACTCCGTTACCAAGAAGTGGCTTGGTGCTGAGATGGCATTGGTGGATGATATGGTCAATTTAAACTGCAAAATTACTAAAGAATCCTCATCTAGTTCCTTTTCTTCCATTCATCTTCTCTCTCCTCCTTTACCGTCTCCCTCTTCATATTGCAGATTTACTTTTTTTTTTTCAATAGATTAAATTGAAATTTTTTAAAGATAAATTTAAACTTAAAAAAATATTAAAAAAAACCCTCAAAATATGAAAATTTAAAATTTTAAAAAAAATTCAAAATTAAAATCAAAATTTGTGATTTTGCTAGTATTAAATGATATTCATTAAATCTCCATCTCTAGTATCTCAAAATCTACTTAACTTTATTTTATATAAAAACGTATGTAATATTTATTTTTATTAAAAAAATATCTCAAAAATAAATTCATATATTTTTTAATAAAAACACAAACTAAAAAGAAAGAAAAAAAATTAAAAATTATGAATTTATATATGCTTTTTTGTTGCAGAAAGTTTTTGATTTGTATTAGAATGAAGCAGTAGTAAAGGGATACATATGAATCCATAATTTTTTTTTTAAGTTTGTATTTTTATTAAAAATATATAAATCTATTTTTGAGATGGTTTTTAAAATAAATAAATATTACATGTATATGTACCAAAAAAAAAATATTACATGTATTTTTTTAAAAAATAAAGTGAGGTAAATTTTGGGTTATTGGAAATGGAAACTTAATGAATAAATTACTTGATGTCAACAAAGCCACAAGTTTTGATTTTAATTTTAAATTTTTTTTTAATTTTTATATT